TAGAAATTGATGATGCTTTCCCATGGCACATTCTGTGGGGAGATGAGTGCCATTTTTATCTCAATGGGTCCGTAAACACACAAAATAGCCGAATTTGAGCTTCTGAGCAGCCCCACACAGTGCGCGAAATCTCATTAAATTCCCCAAAAGTCACTGCTTGGTGTGGTTTCACAGCTGAATTCGTAATTGGGCCATTCTTTTTTCAGACTATCTCTCCGACAGTACCCCAAGCGTGCACCATAAATGTAAAAAGGTACCACGAAATGCTGCAAACGTTTGCTATTCCAAAACTTCAGCAAAGAAACCATCACCAACAGACAATCTATATGCAGGATGGTGCTCCGCCACACATTAGTAATAAGGTAAAGCAGCTGTTGCACCAAAACTTCACTGATGATAGAGTCATAAGTCACAATTTTCCAGTTGCATGGCTGTCTCGTTCCCCTGATCTCTCGCCATGCGATTTTTGGCTCTGGGGTTATTTGAAATCTCAAGTTTATGTTGGTAGAGTATCAAATTTGTCTATTCTGAAGGACAACATAACAAAGACAGTGCGGAATATTCCTCGTAATATGTTACATACGGTTGTGGAGAACGTTGTGCACAGAATGCGTGGTGTTATTCCTGAGAACAGTGCTCACATTGAATGTGGTCTAATTCCTCATCGGGGAAGTTATTTTAGTAAATAAACATTAATAATTTAACTGTACAATTGTATGTTTTGATGTCTCATGTCTTGATTAGTCTTAATACCAAGTTTGGTGCCATTTCGGCTATTAGATTGCGCTACAGGGCGTCCAAACACTGTCACTTTAAAAAAGATCACCCTGTATATTAACTGGGTTACAACCCCTGGAACTCTACACAAAGCTACAACACTAACTGCATTCAAAAAGAGCCTGACTGGCTTTCAACACTTGCCAACTGTGCCTACATCAGGCCTTTCAGGTTTGTTCGAATCAGCAGGTCTCTCTCTAGATTAACTCTTTGCGGCGCACTATACGTTAACGTCGGAATTTCAACAAAAAAAGTTGTATGCAGTCTATTTAGTCCTAAAGGAGTATACAGGTAAAATTTCGTAAAAATTGCACTTACCGTTTTAATTCTGTGGGTGTTCCATGAGGTGGAACACTGCGCCACCAGAGCTTTTAAAAGTGTGCCTAAGCGAGCATTGCAGTAAAACACGAAAATGAGCAGAAGTGTTTGTATAAGAATGAAAAAACTCTGTATTATGGCTGTATATATGGTTTTCTGGATATACACAATATTCTTGAATATATACAGATAAACGAGATAAATATTTATATACACAAGTCCTATATACAAAAATATTTACAAATTTTCCTATTTCTTAGCTTCGTGAAATTGTTCAAAGCAAGTCACATCTTTTGATGGAAGCACAAACCAACTTCTCCTTTGTGCTACAATGTGCACATCGTCTATGCATACCCTTCACCGATATGTGTTCAACACTACTGTAGCGTTTTTCCCCGGAAATCTTTACTTTATGCCTGGGAATATCTTCAGGTCTTGAAGGAAGTCGCCTCTTCAAAGTTATCTCTGACACTTTCATGGCACAGAGGGAACACAGAAATTTAAGCGGAAATCTTTGGGCTGTAATTCGAGGGTAATTCATGAAACACTTTTAGTGCTTCGGAAAGAGTTAGACCTCTCCGCGCCATTTATGGAAAATTAATAATAAAAAAATATCTACACAATTATTGAAAATAAATGGGAATGAGACTAAAAAGCGACAGCAAAAAATTCGCAGTATGTCTAAGTAAAGATGAGTCAAGCTACTAATAAAATTCCTGCCTAAAAACTACTCCCAAAAAATTCGAGATGCCAATATTAGGTCTTTCATAACACAAAACACACCTCACCCCTCAATACTGCTTTGTTTGAATTCATCCCCACCAAAAAAAACAATGGAAACAGAAAACGTAAACAATGGATGTTCTTTTCTAAGCACCCTAAGCACAGATGTTTTGATTCGTAACAACATGAGATCGCTAAAACCCGCAGTGTTCCCGCTAATGGAACATCTGGTTTTATTCAATGATTCTGTGTATGGTTTTTGTATGAAAGATTAAAAAAAATATAGAACAAATAATTTGGAGTACAGCCAGCAAAATTATGCCTCATTTTTTTTTCCAAATAACATTTTTATATCATTAAAAAAATAGAGAAAATTAATTGAAAAAAAGTGGATTTTAATAACACATAATAAATGAAAATTCTGTGTCTCCTTGTGATATGCTGCTATCTACTGTTTAAAAAGAAAAGTTCAGAGTATATTATAAAGGCATTTTTATCTATTTATGGCTGAATTTAAAGGTTTCAGAAGCGATACAATTTGGGTGTTCCATGTGGTGGAACACTGAGCCACAAAGGGTTAAGCAGTAGCGATGACAACATTCAGTCTTTTATTATGAATCATGCTGATTATGATCTTACTTCTTATTTTAACTTATGCCATTTGACAAAATCTATGACAAATGTGACAAAATGAGGCATTAAAAAAATCAACATAAAGCTACTGTTAGTAAAACGTAAATGTCACTTATCTTCTTTCAAATATGTCCAACTATTATAAGTGTAATATTTAATGCTACTTGATAAGTTGCATAGTTTATTTTATTCTCAAACTCATTAATAATTATGTTAATTAATTCATGTTTAGTAATAATATATACTACTAAGGGATCTATTTTATTTTTAGGATGGTATTACAAAAGTGAAATTCAGGCATAGATAATATTTTTAATTGAATTTATTCAGTTCCCATTTGCTCATAGGTCCTTAATTTTTTTCATTAATGGTCCTTAAAAGTCCTTAAAAGTACTTAATTTCCGTGTGCAGAAATGTGTATGAACCCTGATAAAGTAGATTCAGCAAATGGGTAGAAATTTAACTCACAATGTGAAAAACTGATAGCAGTCTCATTAGCATTGATTATTGGGTATATGAATTTCATAGTGACAAATTTAATTATGAATAAAATTTTTCAGAAGTGAAATGAACTTTGAGCAGTTTCAAAAAACTAGTTCAGAAAATAGCTCAGAGACCTTCAATTTTGCACTGCTAAAGAGTTGAAAATACGAATTAATGGCTTGGATCTAAATATCTGTAAAGAAGTTATGGAAATTATTTTGTTTATCAAGAGATCGCATTAGCATCCTGCGTAAATGTGATGTACCTTTTTTCCTTCTTGCAGACTTCTCACCACATCGCCTCTTCTTCTCCCCCTTTTTTCTTTCAACTTAAACGTGGTTTGAATATGAGGAATTAAATGCTTTGATTCTTTGATTATCACCATATTTGATTCTGTTTGATTGAATTTAAACTGAAATATGAATGTAAATATTAAACATCTTCTATTTTAAAGTTTTTATGTCGATCATTTGTGTCATGGTTCATAATGGCTGGGTAAAGCTGAGGCACTTTTGATTTGATGTATTCGTGTTTTAAAAGATTTATAATTAAAAAAAAAAAAAAAAAAAAAAAAAAGAACTTAGTGAATGAATCTCAAACCGATACTGTAGTCTCTTTACGTCTTAATTATAAATAAGTCTTTGTAGTCTTAATTAAAATTGCTGGTATCCTCTTTACTTTGGATATGGGGTGGGAAGGTAAGTTTTGTTAGAAAAATAAGAGATCTGCCCAAAATGGCATAATAACTAGTTAAAAATATTGGACGATAGTATGAATAAAAATTATTGAAAGCTTTGAGCATTCTTTTGTCGCAACTGACTGAAAAAATAAATAATATGAAATTGGCTGATGATGGAATATTGAACTTAACTGATGAAAAAGATGAAGTAATTAATAGTGAAGAATGCTTAGATTATTTAGTAGAATATAAATGTGGTTTAAATGAAAAAACTTGTTGAATTAAGTTTCAAAGTAAACAGTGTTTCCAGCACAAGTCAGATTATAAATAGCGCTGTCTTAAACCCTACCCAATCACTTTTTCAAAATGCATTTAATCACATTGCCCAAATTAACAGTAAATAATTTTTTTGTCAATTTCTCACAGTGGTTAGAATTCATTGGGCAGTTTCAAATTGCTATTGATAAAAATCCTAATTTGAGTAAGGACAGTTTGAAATTACTATCAATAGAAATCCTAATTTGAGTGAAGTTGAAAAATTGATTTATTTGTGAAATTTCTTTGGAGGGCCTGCTGCCAAAACTATTTTCAGTGCAGCATTAAAAGAAGAAATAATGCCACAGCTGTAGAATTTTTGCAGTCTGGATATGGATAAAATAATCTTCCAATTAATTCTCATTTAGGACTGTTAAGTATCACACCAGTTAAGAATTCCAGTGACATTTTTAGTTTAAAAAAGACTATTTTATCCTGCTGAGATCCAGATCAGAAATTTAGAAGCATTGCAAATGGATTCAAATTCATATGAAAACCTGCTTACATCAATTCTTTTGAAAATTATACCTGCAAATCTTGCAGTGGAGTTTAGATTAGTAGATTGAATAAATCTAAAAACTGGGATCTTTGGATGAAATACTTAGCAGAGACCTTTTTTTCTCCAATCAGGGGGGAAAAAAAGTAACATTGGAATAGATTTATGAAAATCGTTTACCCTGAAACTAAAACTCTGAGACATAAATAATGCCAAATAAAGTATATTGCTCAAGAGTCATTAACTGGTGTCAATTCAAAGTGGGTATTCTGTAAACAAGACCATGACTGAGAGATATGTGGGAGTATTAGCATTGATACTAAAAGAGATCTATTAAGGAAGGAAGGGAGATGTTTTCATTGTTTGCTTCAAGGGCATAAAATTAGCAAGTGTAATCAGAAAATAAATACTTCATATGTCATCACAAATACTCAAAAACTATCTGTTTTCAATTTCATAAAAAGGCTAGTTTGGGTATGAATAATAACACTGTTATTTTTGAAGTAAATCATTGTGATAATTAAAAACTTTATATGTTTTGTATATAAAAAAATTCATCATCTCTTTCTTTCCTAGCTTCCTCAGATGTATCATCTCAGGAAGATGAAGCAGAAGGTGATGCAGCTGATGACTTAGATGCTAATTTTCCTTACTGCAACAGTGCACCTCCAGAAGAGACAGATGCTGCATTTAGGGAAAAAATTAAGAATATGGGGAAAGGTGATGTTGCATAAATTATTAATGTCTCAATTAAAATCTTATTTATTTATAACATCTATTAAATCTTATTCATGTAATCTTTGTATCTGTTAACTCTTATATATAGATATGCCTTTGACCCTTCTTCCAGTTGATTTTTATAAACAAGCCAATAACTATATGAAAGAATATTAAATTGAGTAACTTATAGAGTGATTAAAAGGACTAAAGATGATTGTTATGATATACATAGTAAATGGTTGGTGTGGTAATTGATTTATCCTTTATTCCAAAGCTTAAAACATTTTTTTATGATAAATCTGAAATCAATTATTTGGTGAAATGCTAAAATGTCTAAAATATTTTAAAATGAAATTGACCTCAATTAAATCTTTTAATTTTTTATGGAGGAGTAATAAAATTTTAGAAAAATATTTATAGATTGTTTGATTAATGTATTAAGATACAATAACATGCTGAACAAATATTAATTTAGAAGTCAATCAACAAAAATCAGCATTATATTTTCAAATTTTCACAGTACTAGTTTCGATGGTTTTACCGAACCATCATCCTCAGCTGCAAAAGTGCAAATGAACAAGATATAATGATTAGATATGATAAGATAAGAAAGCCTGGACAGGAGACAAAGCTACTGGCACCATCTGTTGATGAAACCAGAACTAAAACATAATTTCTTTAAAGGCTGAAGGCAAAGATGGATTGGAATTAGGGTCGTTAACTAGAACAGAAAGATTTTCTAGAGGCATTTCATATTCAAAAAAATCTCGTTCATTTGCACTTTTGCTGCTAAGGATGAGGGTTTCGTAAAACCATCGAAACTAGTCCTGCGAAAATTTGAAAATATAACGCTGATTGTTTGACTTCTAAATTAATATTGATTAATGTATGTTTATACAAAATCATAATTGAAAAATAATAAAACATTTAATTTCATTATATATTCCATGCAGATCGAGCCATAAAAAATAAAATAAAAATAAATGTTTGCATATGCATCAGACATGATGAAAGAAAAAAACTGGTGGTAGGCTCTTTCTTTTAGTTTAAAGAGCCGCTGGTGTTTAATACATAAGATTATTAATGGAAGTATGAGGATGATATAGAACAAGTAAAACAAGCAAAAGATTTTACACACATTTTGCTTAATTTTTATTTATTACAGTTATTCATTCAAAATAACCTTCTGTAAAGTAGGTCTATGATATGAGAAATAAGATACTTAATTTAAGATGCCTTCAATTAGTTATATTCCTAGTAAATGTTAAATCTATAAATGAATTGCCAAGTATACTTGGGTAATTACTTGGCACCATATTAAGATTAGAATGATGTTTCATAAAATCAAATGCCTTTTCATTTCATTTGACGTTTACATTGAAATCTTCCATCATAATAAGAGGAACATCTATATCTCTGCAGTAAACTCTTCATTGATTATTAAAGTAGTCTCAGAATATTTTATCAATACACTAAACAAGAACATCTTTGTACTCCTGAATTAACAGTTGGATGCACATACTGATGCTAGAATAAATCTAAACTGTCCATTAACAATTACATACAAATGTCACCTGCTTCTGATACCTGTCTTCTCTTACTTTGCATAGCAATAAATTCTGCTGGTACACAATCTGCTACACTTTTCAAATTTGTATAAATCGCAACACCAGTAGCTTAGCAAAATAAAATAAAATGCAGCAAACATCACCCAAATGCACTGACTGCCTACCAGAGAACCTTGCCGGTCATGTGTTATTGCGCCTGCGTACGAGAATTTCGCTTCACCAAAATATCCGCCCTGATGGGGAAGTGGTGGGAACTCTGATTGCCATTCCGAAAAGCCTGGCTTCAAATCCCAGAAAAGACATAAATGTAAATTGTTTGTCTCTTCATAGAAGGCAACGATGCCTGCCTATTAGATGCCTCCATAATAAAATGACCACTGCTTCTGACCTCAGTAGTGGCCAAAGACTAAAATAGCTAGTGCCTGCCATTTAGAAAAAAGGGGGGAATCTAAATTTCACATCAGTGTGTCAATGTGTTTGCAAATGCGCTCTTTCATCTAGCTAATGATGTATTTAAATTGATTGTAGCATTTGAAGTTAAAAAATTAAAATAAAATAAGTATTCGTGTGCACCTCAAATAGCTTCTTAATTTTTGCTTTCCCATCAGACCATTATGGTGGAACTTAATCATACATTAAAAATTTTTAACATGCATTGAGATCCATAGTGAACAACTGTTAAAGAAAGTACAAAAAATTGTTTGAACCAAACATAATGAAAATTTATAGCTTTCTCCCACATTGTTGTGAGGGGGTTAGTGTAATGAAAGAGGTAAATGGATTAAATTGCTTCTAAACTGACAATGACATAAATTTAAACATTAAAATTCTAACCCTCAAATAACTTGGTTTAAAGTTTTAATTTAATTTTTATTTTTTTATATTAGCTCCAGTTATTGCAGGTTTCAGCCATTATTGTATTAGATTTTGAACTTTTTTACATTGTATTTTTTCATTATTGTATATTATCATACATTTGTTTCAAATTATAGATAATATTATCATATATTTGTTTCATAATCAGCTTTATATATGCAAATATTAGTACAATCATTTTTTAATCTTATTTTGATGCTTTGAAAGTGAAAAATTAGTTTGTACAGAACATAGAAATTGTATTCAAATTATTGTGAGGTTATCTTGATAGATGTACAATATATGTTAATGTAATTCACTGGAAGAACAAATAATTCTCTATAAATATTTACTATAGTTCTTTTCTGGAAAATAAAGGAAAGTGAAGTAAAAAATTGACTTGTTTTCTGATGCTTGTAACTTAGCTAGAATATACAGACAGAGATACAGTTGCTGATTGTGCACGAATTGGGGGGGGGGACTTAAAGTTTGAACATGTCATCATTTCACAGTAATTGTTTCAGATGAGTAAAAGCAACTGTAAGAGTTTTAAGCTCTGAAAATTAATGATATAGTTCTGAACTATTCCTTAGATGTCCTAGTCTGTATTCTAACAGCAACTTTTTTCTCTGCAATTTACGATCAGTCATAATGAATCAAATGAATTTTATTAGTACATAATTGTGAATCAGCCAAAAAACTATATAGATACTCCTCACCTTGCGAACAAATTACTTTTGGAACGACTGTTTGTACCATGAATTTGTTCATAAATGTCACTAGGTTGGTTATGCCCCCTAACAATATCTGTGAAATAAGTAACAATAATAACAATATCATAAGTAAAATATCATAAATACTGTCAAATAAACAGATATAAATATTAAATCAATAATTTATTCTAAGTACAGTATATTGTGAATAAAAAAATATAAATAAATAATGAATTACTTTATAATATGTAGCTCTGTTTTGTGATCTCTGAGCCATGGATGAGGTGAAGATGAGTCTAGTAGATCTTTACATGGGTGGGAAAGAACCCATTCTAAGTGTTGAGCATATGAAAATCATTAATTTTAAATATACTTTTCAAGTGTATTCAGTAGTTTTTTTTTTTTTTTTTTTTTTTAAATTTTATTTTATTATGTATTTTGTTGCTTTAAATATTTTTATTTGGAGGTAGTATTGTCATTATTTTTCTTATTGACATATTGCATATCTGATGCCTATGTAAGAGATACACAGTTTATTCTTTCTTCTTTTTATGAGAGAAGAATAAAAAGAATTTTATATAATCATGTTGTTAAAAATACATGGAGTTTTTTGTATTGCTCCTACCTATTGCACGATTACTAAAGTTTTTTATGCTTCCTGCAAAAGTTGAACTGTTCACTGGTAAAACTCAAAGTACGTGTAGTATAATATATTTTTTAGTTATCTAATATTTTCTAGATTTTTTCTTATAAAGCTAAATATTTTAACATCATAAGTTTTAATGTGAAAATTAATGTTTCATCTTCTTACTTTTTAGTATCTCGTAAGAAATTTACACAATTAGCAAAGTTATTTTCAAGAAGGAAACGGCGCTCATTTAAACCTATGTATCCTTCATTAACATCTGAGATTATCAGTGGAAATTATATTACTATATGAACATCGACTCATTTGGACTGTTCGTTTTCAGTAAAATTTTTTGTATATATTTTTAAAATAATCTTACATACATGTATAAATAAATATCTGTATGTATGCAAGTAAAAAAAAATATATATAAATCAGCTTTAAAATTTAATTTAGTAATAGCCTCTTAATTCCTCATTTTTAAATTGGGTGTTTCTTGTGTATTCTAAAAATTATTGTAACTTTTATGGTCTATATCAATCTATGTCATTTCTATATCAATCTATGTCACATCTTGCATAACACGGATGACTAGCTAATTTGGAACTTGAACTCAAAATTTCGAGAACTGAAACTTTGTTAACAAACAACCTAAACCAAAACCTTCTCTTGGTGAGCCTCCATATTGGATAATTGTGCATTTCAGTTGTACCTCTGTTGGCACTTATGTGCTTTTTTGCTCTGCTCTCTTCCTATCACAACAGTATCAAAAATGTAAATGTTCTTTAAGCACAACTAGAGTGTCAAGTAAATTGTGGCTGCAAATGTCAATTGAAATAAAGCTCAATATTTAATCTTACTTGGCTGCCAAGTTTCCACTTCAATATGGATCTATGTTCTATGCTATCTATCTAAAAGTTTTTCATCAGTATTTCTGCATTTCTTCATTTCAGTGTTCCTACATCAGTACTTCTAATTTTTTATAACATATATGTTACATGTTTTTAATCACACACACACACATACACACACACACACACACACACACACACACACACACACACATATATATATATATATAAATTAAAGAAATCAAAATTAAATTGGAATCAGAACAAGGCAATTCCCTAACAATATTAATAATTGCAACCATGGAAAAGGTCTAACATTGTAGCAAAACATATCAAATTAATAAAAGAATTCATCATTAGAATAAACCCTAAAAATAAAAATGCAAATTGTCAAGTAATAAAAGTAAAAATTAATCTCCCTTGTCTGGAACCCTAATTCAGAACTCATCAGGGGAAAATGAATTAAAGTTTCAGAAAAGTCAATTAATGTGTCCCGAATATGTGTTTCATTCTTCTGATTCGTTTAAGATAAAAAACTATCAATTAAATTTTCAACAAAAACTTTAAAACCGAAAGATCGAATCTCAGATGTATCCAGAATTTCCCTTACACGCATTCGATCACTTGGAAAAAAGAGAATGAATAAAAACTTGGGAAAAAGAGATAATGAATAAAATAATACATTATGCAAAAATGACTACACTAAAAAATATGTCTAAGATACATTACATGCAAATCCGACCTTCAAAAACAGTAACAAATTAATGAATAAAAGAATTCACTTTTAAATCAAATGGTCATTAAAACAAAATTTTAAAAATGGATAGTCCCCGATTATGCAAACCTTAAACTTTTAATACTAAAAAAAATGAAAAAATTCCCAAAAATGATTTTTTTAAATAACATAAAATTCTAATCCAAGCCTTAATCAGCTAAAAAACTGTAAACCTGTTAGTAATGTAAATACTGTAAACCTATTAATAATGTAAATACTGTAAACCTATTAGTAATGTAAATACTTTAAACCTATTAGTGTAATTGTTTTCCAAATTGTAGACTCGTGCAAAAGAATGTTGAATTCAATGGCCTTTTTAAGAAAATCAGTAATTTGTTTACTAATAAGTTTACAGTTTTTAAAATTATAATTATATTATGTAAGCTTAAATTAAATTTTACAGTGCCTCTACTAAGGTAAGTTGGTAGGGTATGTAGAAATTTGTGATGAAGCCAAAGGTGCTAAATGTTGTAGTTTGAAAGGGAAATCCTGTTCCATAAAAATATGAAATTGCTGGTGTCTCTTTGAGTGTTTTTCGTCTTATTGCTGCCCACTATATGAGAATCACTGGGCTCTTTTCCTTTTGAAGATTTTCTCAGTGTAATTTGTTTCTATGTTTATATTGTAAAAATTTCTCTCTTTAAATTTAAAATGTTCCTAAAGTAAGGCATACATTGTTTTTGCAAATATTTATGCTCTAGCTTTACTGCTGTTTTATCAAGGTGATAATGTTCTATAAAACTTGCATGATACTCCATTGTGCCTAAATTTCATGGATCAAATAACTAGAAATATCCTCCCTTCCATCTTCTTCTGAAGATATTTTCACTGCATTTTGGACTAATATTTATTCCTGCCATACCGTACTGTGAGACATTCATCGTCCAAGACAATTTTTTGTTAGGGGAATTTGTTCATGATCCATGGTTCCACAGGAAAGTTTTATATTCATTATAAAAAATACAATACAAAAAATTTGACTCTTATGTGACAAAAAAAGATCAAGATATTTTGTTTTAAAATTAAGAGATCATAGTCAGGGCCATACACAAAATGAAATGTTTCCATTTTTATGCAATTTAAAACAGAATATTAGTTTTGAAGGAAGTTTCGGATATTAATAAATTATATGAGGAATATTTCTGTGCAGACAGTCGTGAAAAGTATAGACCAGTACATTTTTTTTTCCTAGAAGATCTTATTCACAGACTTGTGAAGCATATAAAAATTGTGTTTTCTAGAAAACTGGCAGGCTTCAGTATTGGTACGTAGTCAACTCGAAACATAATTTGCTAAAAGTTAAAAATAGAAAATTCTTCTAATTAAATTAATTTTTCTGTATTATTATTAGATTATGATTCTGAAGTAATAAAATTTTATAATATTAATAACATATTTTTAGCATATATGGAAATTTATAAATTACTTTGTGAAAATTCTTTCAGTGTACTAGTTGTAACAAAATTATGAGTTAGAAAATGTTATATTCTTGTAAATTGCAAAAGAATATGAATAGCATTTAAGAAGGAAGAATTAACTATGTTAATTTTATTATTATTTAATTATGTTAATTTATATATTAACTGACCCATCAATGCAAGGTGGAAAAGACATCAAAATATCCAAAATTTTGAAATTGAATATCTTGGTCAGTTTTTATCATACAGGAGTCACACTTTCTATTTTTGATTTTTTGTAGTGAATATAAAATTTTCTTAATTGTAAGGACAGGAAATGAAGGGCCACTTCAAAAATACAGATTTTATAATTTTTCTAAAATTTTTAATTTGTCAAAATAGGAATATTTGTGTCATTTAAATAATTTTTATGATTGGAAGTATATTTTAACTAGCAGCTGAAAAAATAAAATTTGGATAAGAAAATTCCGTAGTCTTTTTTGAACAGCAAAAAAAAGGGGGGAGGAAAAGAAATACAATACAAAGTCCTACATTCGGACTCATTGGGACTTCGGCGATTCCAGATATGCAATATTTCCGAATAATAGATCATCAGTTTAAATCTAGTAAGATAGCAAGTAGAAACTATAAAATTAAAAATATGAAATCATGATTTATGAAATAATGAAGTATTTATAATCTAAAGGGTATGAAAATTTACAAAAAAAAAATTAATATTTATTTCTTTACCTTATTAAACATTTCTTTCAATGTAAGTTTTTTAAGTTGCTTCATTTTTTGTGCTACACTTTCTCTTTAATTCTGTAGACAGACATAATCTCTTGTTCAGTTAGTCCTGTAACTGGTGTGTCGAGAATTCCGACTAACTTGACCAGGGCCGGATAAAAGGCGATTGGGCCCAATCAGGCCCCGCATTACCATCAAAATGAACAAAAAAAAATTTCGAAATTTAAACCAAATTGCTTTTGACGATAATGCATAAAATATGAATTATTCAAATAATTAAAAATATATTTATTTTAAGTTTGCATTGCTGGATGAGATTTATTAATGTGTTTATTATTATATAATATATACTTTATAATATAGAAAACTGATACCCGTAAAAGTTCATGTCAAACGTATTGAATTTAATTGGGATAGTCCTATATTAGAGAGATTTTGCAGTACGTACGTGAACTACTTTACATACGCAAACTACTATACAGGTATATGCACGCGCAACCATACCAGCCAGTGGTGGATGTATTGCTAGTATCAAATGTCAATTGTTTCTTGCATTTGTAGTTTTATATTAAATTTATATTCAAAAAATGTTTTTGTATTTTGAACATTTTTATTTTTTAATTTATGTAGAAGTTTACCTGTCTGATGATCCATGACATTTGATATATTTGTGTATATATATATATACTGAATTTGAATTTTATTTAAATGTTTAATATATAGAGAGGGCCCTGCAAAAAAAATCCAATCGAGCTCCACACCTATTCAATTCGGTACTGAACTTGTCAATTGAAATTTTTTCATTTTCAATAACTTCTGTATCACTTTCTTCACTATCAGTAGCAGTATTTTCTGGACGTAGAACCATACCACAGATTTCGCTATTCATTAATTTATTGACAATTGAGAAGCATTATCATCACAATCATCTTCATTTGTTACCGTTTCTCCACATTTCTTTACAAAATCTGTTAATTGGAAAATTTCACCTTTGTTTTGCAATATCCGAAAACCTTTTAAAATTCACTGCAATCATCATCAAATTTAGTTATCATTCACTACACATATTTGTTTATGCATCATGAGCTTGGCGACTAACGACAAGTTGGTCCGTTAAATTTTATCTTGCTTCTATCGCAAACTGAGACAATTAAGCCTGAATTGTATTAGTTTAGTTATTTATTATACTTATGTCTATTTCTTGTGCATACTTAAGGCTTATCAGAGTTCTGAATAAATAAATTCCCACCACATATATAAGTCTTATTGAGGGCCGGCGCTAGATATTTTATCGCCTGATGCAGTCTCTGTAGGTCCTAAATTCTCAGCCCGATGCGCCCATACAAGCCCTGGTGCTGGTTCTGGGTTTATGTGAATAACAAATCAGTTATTCTTAATTCAAATAGCCCTTAATGTAACCTTTGGGTCTATGAGTATCATCAAAAAAATCTACTCTTAGCCTATGGAAAGAAATTTTTGTTGAATTTTTCCTCTTTAACATTTTTAGAGAATTTAACTGAAATCTGTAATCATCGCCAAGTGTCATAAAACATAAAATGTTACCATGCTACTTTATTATTCATTTACTAACATAAAAAATTGTTTAGGCATTGCTACATGAGTCATTACTCAAGATGTCGTGTTGATAAACATATGGTGATTAAAAGAAAGTATAATAAATAATGATTCGCCAGGTTGGGGTCAGATCAACAATGTATCTATGTGGAATGTTTCGGTTTGAGATGTATGCCAAAGCAGATGGGCAGCAACGGAACGGAATTACTGATGGTACAAATTTATGCTAAAATGATTGTTTCTTCAATAACAAGATATTTTATTTAGTGTCAAAGTGAAATTAAGAATCAGGACTCTCCAGGTGTTTTATTATGTGCAGAGGGAGGAATCAAATGCTTATGCATGAGCCTACAAGAAAACGTTGGTGGTGGTTTTGAGGTTCGGATTTTAAATCATTCCGGATATTGGACATCTGGATTTTTGACTGTGTTATATTGCTTATTACATCTCATCAGAATCCTAGTAAAAAGTATATTTTTAATAAATTATGTTAAATTAATTAAATATCTCATTAAGTAGTTCAACCCCAACATGGATAGGATTTGCCTGTTTTTGATTCTGACAGAATACCAATCTTAGACATTTAGGGATTGAACTGTTTTAGTAAACAATCTAATTTAAATTCATAATCTGTATTCATTTATTTAAAAGTTACTTTTAGTTTTATTAAGTTGTTTATTGAATAGTTCAGAAACATGACTGCGTTATTGCACTTGTTGTGGTGCCAACACACAATTGAGATATTACCAAATATGTACACTATTTTGCTTCCTCCCCTGTGTATTTTTATTTCTTGCTGTTTCAAAAATGTTGTGATTTTTCATTTATTTGCTACTGTTCTTAATCTTACTTTAAGGATATGTTTTAACTTTTTCAGTTCATATCAATTACATATATAGTAATAATAGTACAAACATAAAAAATATGATGATCATATGTATCAGTGGAATGTTTGAATGAAATTATGAAAGAGGAACTTGTGAAAAAGTGTAAATGCCAGTAAAAATTATCTTAAAGGCAAGACAGTGGTTAAAATTAGTGAAAGCAAGAAAACCATGTATGACCAAATGTAAGAAATATAACACTAAAATCAAACAAAAAATTTTTAATATTTAAGAATTGCATTAGTCTAGGAAATCAGTCAATCAATCAAACAGGAACAGTAACTTAAAGCACAACTGAAGTTAAATTTGTTGCTTATATTTTTTTATATTCATTTGATCATTTATGTATACAGTAAGTGCAAAACCCAAAATCCAGATTCATCAGGACTTCAGCAATTCATGGTTTGAGATTTTTTCCTGATATTAGATCATCAGAGTAAATCTAATAAAATGGCATGCAGAAATTAGAAAAGAAAAAAGAAAAAAAAAAAAAAGATACAATCAAAAAAAAAAATCTGTATGCTTTTGTATTTTATATTGCGCCTGAAGGATTTTTTTTTTTTTTTTTTTGCATATCACGTTTTGCCATTTGGGCTAAAAATACTTAATAGAATTTTCGATAGACAGTCTTGCATGCATAAAAATACTTTATTCTGTACAGTGTTTTGCCACTGCTCACTTTGAAATTGTTGAGTTTCTTAGTCAAAAATTTGGTAGGTTTAAAAAATATAAAATAGATAATAAAACAAATTTGAAATTCAAGATTCAGGCTTCCAGGTGCCGATATTCTGGTGGAGGACTATGTTATTCAAAATTTTATGGCTGTAGATGCCGTTGTTTTTTCACAATGTAAGAAAAACATTCATGCACCCTGCATTATTTAATTTCTTTAAATAAAATACAGGGTGATTATATTTGGTGGCAACAATTTTTAAATTGATACAGCCATTTATAGTGATTCGATGTAAAATTGTGTGCAAAATTGTTCGATACATAGGTTTCAAGACTAATAGCCCCTATAGTAGTAAATAAAGCAATATATTTTAAATACATAATAAAGTAGATGGTAGCACTGTTGATTTCTGGAAGCACCATGGCATAAGAATATGTAAACCACCCCAAATTGTTATCTATATGTTTGTAACCATTTTATGTTATGTTCAAAAGTAAATATTTCAAAAATAACTTGCCAGGTCTTTATTATTATGAAGGAAGTAAACTTAAGCTAAATATTGCTTTTCAAACATTGTCATAAATTTTATTAGCCTAAATTAATGTAAAAATTATGATTGCATATTTCAAGAGACTTATATGCTTTCTGCATATAAGTCTCTTGAGAGATTATATGCTTTCTGTTCATCAACACCAAATTAATTTACGAGTGTGCTTATATAGATCATTATTTCTTAACATATTACACAAATAAAATATAGTTGTTACGGTATCATTTATAGTTTTAATTTAACATAGCGTAAGCCATAAGAAAAACGTTGATAATAATGGAAAATAAAAGGCCTTTAGGACTCGATTAAGACTTAATAATTCTTGTAAATTAAAATATGCTATTGCATATATTGAAGACTATTCATATGATCAAATGAAAGAAAAACATGCTAGTGTAAAATTTAAAACTAGATTTAAAGAATGCATACTCATTTTGAATAAAACTGTATTGATATTGTTAAAAATTTACACCAAAAGAAGGTTGCATTTTTGCTAAGCAAAGTTCTTCTGCTGAAGAAGTGAGACCTGTTGTGGTTGATTGCCCTTGATATTAATAGTTTTACTCAAAAACTTCTCCTAAATAAGGTTGCTTTTTTTCTTAATTTTTTATTTTTATAATGCTGGTTTTGGTGAATACATAAATAAATGCTTTGAAAGTAAAGCAGATAACCCCTCAATAATTCATTTTGAGAAGCATAGGGATGATTTTCAATCCTACTGAATTGCTTTTCATGACTTCAATTATTATAATTCAGACTTTTTTGAAAGACAAGGAAGGAAGAAATTAAATGTGTTCATATATGTACCTTAAAATTTTTATTATTTAATAGATTTTTTTAATTGTCAAAAAGGTTAGCATATATTAAAAAACAAACACATTAAACTTTCAAAAGCTCAATATGTTCTAACATTCTAAGATAAATTTTTATTTTAAAAAGGCACTTCATTGTCTTACATTGTATCTGCAACCATTGCTTTATTAAGTAAAGTTTTGCAAAGTTTAAAGACTTATTCTTCATACATAATTTAATTTGTTAATGTTATTTATTAAAAGAATCTATACTCCTTAATTTTAATTAAGTCTAGGTGATGGTTCTAATCCATCACGAGACAATCTGCTTTTACATGAAGATGAGTATTCTGAACTTTCTGAAGATGATTCAGAAACAGAAGTTAATAAAAAAGACACCTGGAACAGTCATGTAAGTTGTATTTTGATATGTTTCAAATATATTTATGTTCATAATGAAAAGATTTAAAATTTACATTGTGATTTTAAAACTATAGGAACTGGAATAATTTCTTAAAAGAATTTTAGTTTTTTAGGTTTATAAAAGGTAATTTTTAGTGATGAAATGACAAGAAAACCTTATTATACTTTAAGTATTTTAACAACTAGAATAACTTTTTATTCCACTTTCAGGCAAAATCAAAAATGTGTGTTAGTAAGGATTATATATTTTGTCATCATCTTGCAGTTGATATTTTTTGTAAAATACGATTTCAACAGAAATTTTCAATTTCAGATGCATCTTTAAAAGCTAATAACTTCATTATTATAAATTAGGATTTATCTCATGAAAGAGTAAACATATGTCAATCAAATATATCCAGCACAAATGAACTTCATTGTACTGAAAATTCTCCTGTCTTAAGAGAATATGTAAATGTTAAAAGTGAGTTAAATTGATCATTTGGTCATGCTAAATAATTGCTATATTAACGAATATGTCAATGTTTTATTAAGATAATAATTGTAAGAATTCATGAGTTTCAATGGAATAATCATGATCTTCTTTTAAACATTTTAATGCATTTTTTACTGAAATGTTAGTAAACATGGGTCTAACCTGATAAGATTATGATTATCTTGTAGTGGAAAAAAATCTTCAGTTTATGAACATGTCCAAAAGACTTTGAATTTGTTCTTATACTTAAGGAAACCAGCAATATTTAATACTACTAACAATATTTACTTTGCATTTTGCTAGAGCATAATGGAGGTGGTGTGGTGTGGTGTATTTAATTATGGCAAAGCACACTAGGACTATCTGCCAAAGGGGCATAATGGAGGAAAATCTGTGTAATGTGTGTAATGCATTGCTTGGACAGTAATGGAAGTGGTGTGGTGTGGTGTATTTAATTATGGCAAAGCACACTAGGACTATCTGCCAAAGGGGCATAATGGAGGAAAATCTGTGTAATGTGTGTAATGCATTGCTTGGACAGTAATGAAGAAAGTCTGATGATTGAACAATTAGCTAATAAGTATGAATAATTCCCAATGTAAAAATAGTGTTACAAAATTAAATACTAGTTCTGTCAGTTTTTTTTTTTTTTTTTTTTTTTTTTTTTTTTTTTTTTTTAAGCAAAGAGGTTTTTGTTTTAAATAAGGTAGAGAGTATTTTTATATAGAACATTTCTCAAAAAGTTTAGCTTATCAAAAAGAAATTAATTTATTTTTTAGTCTTGATGATTTAATTTCCAAAAAGTAAAACTTTTGTTATAGATTTCATGTATTCAAGAGATTTAGCCTTAAATATATATAGTGTTATTTATAAAAATTATTTAATCATATTTTGAAACATTAATATAAATTATATTTTCATAATAAACTAAAGAATATTTTGATATTTATCCGTCTAGTCTCTAAATTAAACACAGTTAAAATCCCATTATAGTGAACTCGGCTTATGACAGACCCCTAGATATAGCAATCATTTTCAACTTGTGTAGTTTTTTATACACTTAAAGTTATTTTATATGCTTGTAATGAACTTTCAGATTTATGAAAATAGAAAACAAATTTTATTGATATCTTTGACCGAAACTTTATATTGAATTTTTATATTGAAAATTTCAACTCTTAAAACCATGCATGTTTAGGATGCTATGATTCATATTCCATGTATGTGAGAATATCAGAGGACTCATTTGCATTAATTTCTCTTGTCTTTATCCCCACCTTTCTCTAATTTGTAAAGTGTTAGACAAGTGTAACACTTAATTCTTGGAGAACCAGAACACACAATAAATATATCTTAGGATACAATATGATGTCCATGGCCACTGAGTCAAGAACTTTAGTAGGGTCTCCAGTTTTATTCAAGTTTTTGATTGAGCAATTAAGCAAAGCTTTATTCAAGGCTGATACTATGGTGGACATTTTGAAATTTTTGCTGTTCAGGGAAAGAAGAAGTATTGAATAGTTTTTTTTTATAAGCTTGGGGTTATACAGACATTTCATATTTTAGGAAATGAATATTTTTAATTTTTATTGGTTTGTTTTATTGCAATAAAAATGCTGTTTAAGTTTTATTTTCTGAATAGGGGATTTTGCCTTCTTAAGATCTTTTGCAAACTTTTCAACAATATATATCTTGGGAAAGGGAATGTGTTCTCACTGGACATTAAATAAGACAGTCAAAATTGTCTTCCTTTTTCTTTTCAGAGTAGCAAAACTTTGCATATTCTTTGACCTTAATCTGTTTGTTCTACTCTAGGAAAATTTTTCTGTATCAGAAAGTCATTGATTTGGTAAGCTGTAAACATAAAACATTGTACTGCAGGTAAGATAAGCATTATTTGAAAAATGCAGAATGTATGCAGTCAAATCAATGTCTTCCAAGAATACACTTTATGCAAGTCTACAGTTAGTACCAAGTGAAAATATCTAGACTTTGTAATTTTAATGCTTATGGAAAAAATATGAATACAAGGAAAACATTGAAAAAGGCCAAGCATAGGGGAGTATTGCTTGAAATGGCTTACCTTTCAATGAAACAATAATCTTTCGGTATCTGAACAAATGCTTCAGATGAAGACCAATAAATCTGACATACACATTGCAGAGTCTGCTTTTTTTTTCTCAAATACCTTCTTCTATAGGTTTAAAAAGAAAACCAACTTTTTTTTTTTTTTTTTTTTTTTTTCCAAAATTATTAGAGAATTGGGAAAAGCTTCAAAATTAAGTGCAGGAAATGAGAAAAAAGTGTTTAAGATAATGCCTCTTGTGCTAGTACAAGTAAAAAAACATTTTTAATGCCAATGAAGCTAGATTGTTCTATAAGGTGATGCTAAACTAAATGTTAAAATTTAAAAACAAAATTGCACTGGCAAAAACTGCCAAATTTCTAGATTTTTATGTGTGCAGATATGACAGCACTTAGCTTTGTAGTCTTTTAGTGACTGGAAAATTTCTAATCTTAGATGCTTAAAAAATAAGATGCTCATGCTAGGTTTGTCAAAAAGTTTTTCCTGTAAAAACTAATTGTGAGGCATGGATGGCATCAAGCAGTCTGAAAAAGTGCCACAAATCTGACATGAAGAACTAAGAGTAAAAGATTCTGCTATTGACTGCCAATTGTACAGCACACATAGATACTGAAAATATACTATTGATTAATTTGGCATCAAATGTGTTTTGATTGTTGTAATCTGTGGACAAGGACTTAATCAAGAGCTTATAAGTGGCATTACAAAAATCAGTTCATTTTTAAACAGTATGATAATTATACAGATCAATGGTATACAAACTTTATGACTGTGTGACCCATAAAAATTCAAAAAACCCTAAAAACAATTTTAGGACTCCAGTCAGAGCATTGACCATTGGTTATATACCATCAATTTAGGTTTTTGTGTGTTTTTGTGTCTTCCACTTTTGCAAGTGCAAGTGAGACAATGACCCCATTATAAATTTGCTTACCCTTGCCAACCCATCGTAAGTTTTTGCAACCACAAATAGGATCATCAGCCATAGTTTACACTGATATAAATTATATAATTTCACTTTTTGACACAATGCTCTTGCTAGGCTTGTCTTGTCTACTTGTTACCGAATCAACAGTCCAAAATTGTTTTCAGTGCACTAGTCTAGCAAGGGTGTATAATAGGAAGGTGATTCAAGTAGGGATTTGCCTATTGCTAAGTGGTTAGGAAAAAGTACATTTAAATATTTTCAGAATGTAATATGAAGCTTTTCCAAAATGCAACGATAATATTGTTATCTAAAGATCTTAGTGATAGAAGATACTATGAAAGAAATTAAAAGGAAAAATGGTGATGTATAATATTCTTTTTCTGATACTGAAGGAAATGTGAAAGAAATGCAACACATGTAAAACTAACTCTCCATCACAATGAATACCAGAGCTATGTTGTGTATTATTTATAAGTTTTTATTCGCTTGAATTGTAGAATGAAAAGTGATGGATTCTTTTCACTTGTTTGAACTAAAATAGTAATTTGTTTTTGTGCTCACAAGCTGAAGATAAATTCATCAATATTTTTTACTATTCATTTTTAGAGTTTTTATATATAAAGTATTTATTGATAAATATAAATGTGTATTGAAATGGCAGATATGTAATTCAATGAATGAAACAGATTCATTACTTTCATGCTAAGTAATTTATCGTGTAAAATATTAGCATTTGGTCAAAATGGAAAATGTAGACAATAAATTTAATATTTGTAACTAGCCATGGTATGGTTTATTAAGTAAATTTATTTTACTTTTTTTGTAAATGTGACAATGTTAATCAGTTTTTTGCGATTCATTCTCTTACATTTTTTTGTGATTCATTTTTCTTATAAAATTGAATGTAGCAAACCAAATTTGAATTTTGTTATAGCACATCTTGAAGTATCAGAGTATGACTGTATTTAAACTTTAATCTGAAATGTAAATAATTGTGAATTTTGTAACGGATTTAATTCTTTCATTATTTGTAGGTTGGAGGTCCAGGTGGAAGATCTCAAACCATAGAAAGATCAAAAATGGATTTGTAGCTGTGTGGTGAACTAAAGCTATCTTTAAGAAAGTAAAATTGTGTGCTTCTAACATGTGTTAAAATATTATGTAATTCTAACCGCTGGCAGTTACTAAATGATTGAACTCATGTTGGGTATATTTGCATTATGTATATTTTATAAAAGCTGTGCTATTTCAATAACATGTTAATCAAGAAAATCCCTTTTACCTTAAGGGAATGACTGTAACCAATTGTATAGAGGATGAAAAATTATAATCTGAAGTTGCAATGTACTAAAACTATATAATTATGATTTTGTAAAGTAGACTGAGAGAACAAGAAAATATTTGATGGTAAAGGAATTTTTTTAAATTTCTTTGAAGAATTGAAAATTTTAAATTTCTTTGAATATGCTGCATTAAGTTTTGATGTAAAACAGTTACTAATTATGAAAGTAATATCAAATTTAATTAATGCAGTTTGAAGTTTTGTATTCAAATGGAACTTCTAAGCTTTTCTTAATCTTTTTTTTTTTTTTTTTTTAATATTACCTAAAAATGGCTTTCAAGTAAATTAAAGTATGCACATTTTTCATTGCTTATATACAGGATGGTCCTTTTTTTTTGTTCTTTTTTTTCTCATATTTTTTTTTATTATTATTATTATTATACCCTACGTAATAATTTCAGGTTTTTAAGACTAAGTTCACTCAGTGAAAAGAGAAAATAAATGTTTTTACACTCAAACGTTTTAGCTTAAACATGCATACATATACATTTCAACTCTGTTTCTAATAAAAAATATATTTGAACTGCTTATTTGCAGTGCTTTCTTAAATTATCTTTAAACCTTTAATCTAAGTCGGAAAGTATATTGTATTAACAGGGTTTGTACCTTAAGAGTCCTTGAAAGTCATTAGGTTTTTTGGAATTGATATTTTGGTCTAAAAGTCCTTAATCATCCAAAACTGGTAGAAGGTCCTTAATTTTAATCACCTGAAATTTCGGTCCGTTTTTATGACTGCTATTTTGATTGTGAATTAGCATTTTCGAGGAATATTTTTCCCGATTCATTGACAAATATGATAATCATTTGAATTTGTTCCTATTTCTAATATAAATGGTGCAATACTCAAGTTTCTAGCCAAGAAGTGAAACATACACATTTCAAAATTATTTCCTTTTTTATAGTGAAGAGCTTTTAAGCAACCTTTCCCTTTTGAAAATGTGAATTCATTCATGAGACATTTTTAAATTTGGGGACAAATCAACATTTTGTCTAAAAATGTTTAATTCGGAGATTTGTGAATTTTTTTAGAATATTTTAACATTAGTAAATTTCATTAAAATAATGGTAATATACTGAAATTATACTTAAGAAATATCATTAAAATAAAACGTTTTTAGTTTTCCTTGCCATATTTAAAATGACATTACTTTCCATTTTGGCGACTTATTATTACATTAATTTGAATCTGAAAAATAAGCAAGATAATAAATGCTAAAAAGCGCAATTTACAAAACAATTCTTAGCAAAAGCAAAATAGCTATGTAATTGTCTCAATTTTCAGAATATGCAGCAGTTTCCTGTATAAAACTCATTTAATATTTTTTTTTTTTTTTTTTTTTTTATTTTTTTTTAATACTTCTGGCTTTTTTTCTGCTACAGAATTGATACATGTAATTTTTCTTTCAGATTTTATACATTTTTTGGACCTAACATATTGTATTTTTACTTATCTCTTTACATTTTATTAAATTTTAATATTAATTGTTTAATTATTCCAACTATAAATTATTTAATTGTTTAATTATGAATTATTTTACTAGTCATTTTATTTATTTATTTATTTTTGGTTTTCTTTCCTGACAGTCTTCCATAAGGCTCTGGCCCTTATAATTTTAGAAATTAAGCCCAGCTTATTGAAACAAATTTCTCATTATTAGAGAAGATGCTTAAAGGGAATGAAATTGATATAAATTGGCCAAAATATCTGGGAAGGTTTCAGATTAAAAAGATGCATAAATATTTTGTTGTATGTTGCTGCTTTAAAGTGTAGCTTTTAATGTATCCTAATGTTGTTTAAGAATCAGTGTCATAAATTACATGTGTTTTAAACTGTGAAATATTATTAGATTGAGATTTTAATAGAGCTTTTTTATCAAATACTTTTAAAAAATAAATAAAATTTAATAGTGACCATGTAAATCTATAATGACTAAGGGTATCTAATTACTTAATTTAATTATTGGTAACTAATTGCTCACCTTTAAAAGTTTTCTCTGCATGTTAAAGCAAGTTATTGCCTTTCATCAAACCATACTGTGGTCAAAAGATATGACCCCAAAAATGTAAAAATTAATGTAAAACTTATTCCTTACAGCTAGTGAGACTTAAAATAATAAAAAACAGCGTGCTTTAGTTGCTTATTGGAACCTTAAAATATATTAACTGGGTTGCAACACTATGAACTCTACACGAAGCTACAACACTAACTGTGTCAGAGAGACAGAGCGTAACTAACTTTGAAAACTTGCTAACTGTGTCAACATCAGGCATTCAGGTCTGTTCTGATCAGCAGGTCACTCTCTAGGCAAGCAAGCCAGTCTTTTGTTATGGAACATGCTGATTATAATTTTAGTTCTCATATTAACCTATGCCATTTGACATAAAATCTGTCTGCTATTTACTAAATAACTAGACTGAGCAAATACATGATTAAATGAGATATGAAAGAAAAAATCAGCATAAAGCTAACTGTTAGTAAAACATAAAGATAATGTCACTTATCTTTTGTAAAATATGTCCAACTATAAGTACTTGTAATGAATGGTACAAAGTAAAATTTACAAAGTTGATTTTATTCTCAAATTTATTTTACAATTTTGTTTAGTGCATCTTACTTATAGGTTTATTTTATTCTTAGGATGGTATTACAAGTGAAATTAAGGCATAGATAATATCTTAAATTTAATTTATTCAGATATGATTTGTACATAGTTCCTTGATTATTTTTCTTTAATGGTCCTTAAAAGTCGTTTATTTTCATGTGCAGAAATGTGTACGAACTCTGAAAAATTTTATATCTTCAGTGTTAACATATTATGTTCAGTGGTATGCCAAAGTCTGAAATATGTGCAATGTAAGCAGTAATATTTTAGCATACTGCTTGCATGTACCGTAGAACCTTGGTAAATGCAGAGTTTATGCCATTAAGACATTGTGCATATAGCAAAATCACATTCCACAGTTAACTTTCTATGAAAAAAACAGATTACATATAGTACAGATTAAGAAAGTATGTGTAATTCATACAAACCTTGATATTATTGTAACTAAAAAGAAAAAAAAAAAAAAAATGAAACAAATTTTAATTGAGAGAATTTCTATTTCTGCTTAATAAGTAGGCACGGGATACAACTATTGTTTCAAATAGCTGGTTTTGTTACGGATAATGTATGATACAACTCATTAAATGTTTCTTAGTAAGGAGTGCCAAGTTTTTTAACACCTATCATAAAGTATCCTCTTTTTTCTTGATTTAGGTCAATCTTTGTTACAAAATCAGACAGTTTATTTGCCTTTTTAACAATTTGTTTTTCCTGTAAATTAAAGATTCTTTACCCTCTTTGCTATCACTGCTTTCACCATCTGCCTGACAAAACAGCCTTTGGAATGTTTCAATGATTCCTTGATCCATCGATTGGATTAAGAAAGGGATGTTTGGTGGAAGGAATAAAACTTTTACTTTTGGATGCATTGTTGTGAGGACTTCAGCATTGTATCCTAGAACATTATCGAGAATTAGGAGAACTTTAAAACTCAGGTTTTGCTATTCTAAGCAATGTTTGACTTCTTTCATGAATGAATTTACAAACTATTCATTAAAGAAGATTATCACAACTCTACACACTGTATCATGTATAGTTTAATTATCAATATTCTATGCAGTGTATCATTATAATTTAAAGTCTCTTTGACAAATTAAATGGAGACAATTAAGATAACATGTATGCACAAAATTGTGTTTTACAAGTCTGCGTTCAGCAAGGGTTTACTGTAATGTAACGTAACATTAGCAATCTCTGTGTTTTTAAAATTTAGGTACTTGCATATTTTGCCATTAACCACTTTCTACAGTGTAGCCAAACAATGCAATTTATCAACAATAATGGATGAATGGGATGCTGCAACGCAGCCATAAAAAATTTTGCCTTTTTTACTTCCTTGTACGAAGTAAAAAGGAAGTATTGTAATCGTGAAAATTTTCAGGCAGCATATTTCAATGAAAATATCCATTTTGACCGCTATCGAATGCAATTTAACGAAGTTTTTGCATAATATCTGTACGTAAGTACAGAATAAAAGACTCGTTTCCTCAAAAAAAAATTATAAAACTGCTTTAAAATGAATTCTGAAGAGAATTTTTCGTGGCGTCTGTACGAATGTATCTCGTATAACTCAAAAACGACTAGCCTCAGGATGTTGAAATTTTGTATATAGGACTGCTATAACATGTAGATGTGTACTTCGTATTTTGGTTGCAATCGGCCGCACCAAACATATATAAATATATTTATAAATATATCCACTCTGTTACTCAGCACAGTGATCTCAGTTTCTTTACTCATATATGTTTGTAAATTGTACATTTTTTGCTTTAAAAATGATTGTATTATTTTGTTTTTATCTTCCTGTTAAGGTTTTTATGCCTTTAGTAAATCTACATTCAATATTTTTAGAATTATCAACAATTTTAAAGTTGTTTAAGTGCCGCTAAGCCTTTTTTTGATGGCGGCCATTGATTGTTTACATTTGAAACAGCAGACTAGTGGATTTGTTGCCAATCTAGAGAAACTTAGCTTCGCAACAACAAAGATAACGCCTTCATTTATTATTGCCAATTAAATCATGCTTAATCCTTTCTGGAATTTTTTTGAGGAAATAAGTGTTTAAGATTTACTTCGTAATTTTTAATACAGATATTTTGAGTTTTTATGTATTTTTGCCTTCTCGCGAAGTGAGAACTGAATTAATTGAATGAGAAATACTCAATCGTCTGTGAAAAACTTTTTTTTTGTTTTTTTTGTTTGCTTAATTTCTTATACATCATTCTAGCTTTATTATAGTATTTGAATAGAACATGTGGCAGCCATTAGATAATTCTATTCTTTAAATGATATAAATTTTGTGCATTAATGAGTTATAATATGAACAAATATAATACTGTTAAGTGAATCTAGCGCCAGAGTGTCGCAATGCTAGAGTGAATTTTAAAGAATGCATTTATTCT